GTTTTTCCACTTCTATCTCTTCAGAAGGAACTTCAAGGCATAGTGTGTCACCTGGGTAGATACTCTTGGTGCTGCCACTGGAAGACTTGTAGGAGCTAACCCTGATTTGTCTTTTTCTTCCCTCCAACTCCTCCTCTGACTTTTTTTTTTTTTTTTTGGCAAGGATTAGAAGATCAAGAGGGGTCGCTGGGCATGGTGGCACACACTTGTGATCCCAGCGGCTTGGGAGGCTGACACAGGGAGAATCAGGAGTTCAAAGCCAGCCTCAGCAAATGCAAGACACTAAAGAACTCACTGAGACCCTGTCTCTAAATAAAATACAAAATAGGGTTGGGGATGTGGCTCAGTGGTTAAGTACCCCTGAGTTCAATCCCCAGTATCAAAAAAAAAAAAAAGATAATGATCAAGGTTTTCTAAAATAAACTTATCTTTATGAATATTAACAACAGTGTTTTAAATGAAAACAAGCAATTTCAGATTTAATAAAAATCTTAAAATTTGACTGTCATGGAGCTAAGCATATAGCTTAGTGGTGGAGTGATTGCCTAGCATACATGGGGGAGGAGGGGCCAACAATGGAGAAGATAAATCTTTCCAAGACACTGTCCCAGTTACAGTTACCTACTTCCTCTAACTAGGTCCTCCACCCCACCCCAGTAGTCCATACAGTTATCAATGGATTAATTCATCAAGTGGATTAATCCATCGATGAGGTCAGTGTCCTCATTATTCAATCATTGCCTAAAAACCCCTCCTCTGAACCTTGCTGCACTGGGGGGACCATGCGTTCAACACATGAGCTTTTAGAGGTCAGTCCAGATCCAAACCATAACAATCATTTAGTCAAGAAGATGTTTTTTTGGGGGGTGGGCTGGGGTTGTGGCTCAGCAGTAGAGTGTTCGCCTACCATGTGCGAGGATCTGGGTTCCATCCTTAGTACCACATATAAATAAATAAATAAGCAAACAAACCCCAATGGCATGCTGAAAGCCTGTTCCTCATCAGAACTTCAGACTTACTATCCACGGATAACTCCCATCTGAACCACTAAGATGATTGGCAAATGAGTTTCTATTTATATCATTCCTTCTGCATTGACTGGTTGGCACTGTAATGCAAATGAAGAGCTTTTCTTTTTCCCCATTTTTTATGTCAGTATGAGCTTATGGATCACTACTTTATAGGTTACAATTTGTTACTACAAAAACTTAGTTTTGTACTCAAAGCATCCCTAATTTGGTCATTGGGAGTCCCTTTGAGCTGGGTTCAGTGTCTATTTAACAAGTGAGTATCAGTCTGTGAGCACTTTCTCAATTTCTGGTGTAAGATATTCCAGATTCATTTTGTAGTTTTTCTGCTTCAGCCCAAAATGCTGCCATTTCTTCAAGTTGTTGTGGTTCCTTTTAATGGAGTACATAATGTTGGAAACCAAAATCTTAAGTTATTGAGCATTCTCATAGCCACTGGGGTATCATTGTTTATTGATCCTTTCAAAAGACAGTACTAGGAAATTGGTTATATAAATGTATGTGTGTGGGTATCTATATATATTCATATATTCTATATGTACAAATACACACATACATAGAGTCACATATGTTTGCATAGAAGTTTTCTTGTTACCAGGGATTGAATCCAGGTGCACTTAACCACTGAGCTACACCCACATCCCTTTTTATTAATTTTTTTTATTTTAATACAGGTTCTCACTAAGTTGCTTAGGGCCTTGCTTAGTTACTGAGGCTGGCCTCAAACATGTGATCCCCCTGCCTCAGCCTCCCAAGTCACTGGAATTGCAGGCATGAGCCACCGTGCCCGGCTGGCCATCATTATTCTTAATGAATTTACTTACTTGCTCAAAGCTGTCAATTATCTCCCCATACCAGTCTTACTCTGCCACCTGCCCTTCCTCTCTGCTCCCATGTTCTTGCCCACATCATTCCTGGCTATCACTTCAGGGAAGAGAAATGGAAAGGAAAGGTGGAAAGGGAGAAAAGACTGGAAGATAGGAAAAGGTAAGAGAAAATAGGAAGGGAAGAGATTAATATGAAGGTAATACCATAAATTGCCTTCGATACTTTGTTAATGTCAATGATATCAAGTTTATGGTAATACTTTGCTTAATTATCCCATATATATATTTTTTCAATAGCAATTCTTGACAATTGTCATAAGGTCCCAGGTTCTATAAAAACTTAAGCTCACAGTAAAAAAAAATGTATAAAAAAGTTAATGGCCATGAGAGGCTACTAAAGTCAAACCAATGAGGCTTAAAATGTGGAGGCTCAGAGTTGGACAGACTGTGCCTGAATTCTGCTTCCTCTTCTGCTTTATGTATGGCCTAGATAGTTACTTATCATCTGAGAATCTGAAGGTTTATCTGTAAAAGGGTGTATTAACTTCAAGGGATTGCTGTTGATATCACTGCACATAATACAGAGTTTGGTTAATTTCTGTTATTATTAGTTTCTTATTGTTATAGTTGGTACTTAAAAAAATTATATGGTGTCCTCCTATAGTTCCCATCTAAATGAGTCAGTTTTTCATCACTGTAACAAAATATTTGACACACTACTTATAAAGAAAAAAGAGGTTTGTTAAGTTCACAGTTTTGAATTTCAAGGGCATAGCACCTGTCCTGGTGAGGACTTCATGAGGAATGGTGGATGGTGGAGTGTATGTAGGAGTAAGTGATTCCATCTCAACTCAGGAGCAGAGAGCTGGGTAGAGTCAAACCTAGGTTTTTATTATGACCTACTGGAACCACCAAGAAGTCCCGTAAGAACTATCTTCTGAGAACTCACCCCCAATGACCTAAAGACCTCTTGCTAGGCCCCACCTCCCAAAGGTTCCACACTTGTCAATAGCACACCCATAGCACACCCAGGAATGGGAGGACCAAGCCTTAATCACAATGGGTCAGTAGACCAAACCATTTTCTAAGTATAACACCCTCTCTTTCAATTTATGGTTGAATGGAAAACCAGCAATAGTAGACTCTTGTATCCTTACAGAATAGTGAAAACACACACACTGGAGTTACAAGAATATGAATGTGTTCCTGTGCTTACAGATCCTAGCTCTTTAGCTCAGTCATTTGGCTCATGGATCAGAAAGTTGCTGGGTGGATTAACTGTCCTTTCCTGGGAATTTTTAATTGGAGATCAGAGGTCATCATCCTTAGCCTAATGGTGAGGCTGAAGTTATGAAACTGAGTAGCTGTCAGTGGCCTTGTTTCCAGTCATGTGGAGGAAATTGGTTGAATAGTATGAAGCCAATGTGCAGAGAGAAGCCAGCTAAGGGATGGTGGCAGATAGAGGGACTCTGATTCTAGTGGTCCTTGAGGCCCCCGACTCCTACCCTTCTCATAACATGTTCATATCAACAGTCCATTCCTCCCCCTTCCCTTATTCCTGTCAATGGCAACCAAGGTAAATCTGACTTACATAAGACCCATGGCTGGCACATAGTAAGGACTTAAATAATGTTGGCTAATTACTCTTCTATGTAACAGTCAAAATCTCAAGAGAAAAGGTAGGGGTAATTGCAGAGGTTATTATTATTTAGAAAGGAGAATTTCTTAAGAGTTTAACTTTCCTTTAAACATCACAAGGGAAAGCACCTAAACACAAAAGAAAGAAGCCTTCCAAACCCCCTACCCCTACCCCCACTATTCTTCATCTGTGGCCAGGAGGTTCACATAAATGCCTTTAGTACTACTAGTACTTTCTTTCTCAGAATCCTTCCCCCTTATGTTATGTATCTAGTGGGTCTTGATGGTATTTATCTGTGCCCCTGGGCTCAGCTAGCTAAAAGTGCTTGGGTAGATCTATTTTTGAGGGAAAGAGTTGCCCTCAAATTTAGTCTCCTTAGAGGTAGTGTCAACATCTTTCTTTATAGGATAGTTGTCTGCTCAATTCTCAGGATAAGACCTTGAAATCAGTGGGTCTCCATTATTATATCAAAAGGAGTTTGAATTCTTTTCTTCCCTGAATAACATGAGTGACATTAGTCAAATTAGTGACGATAATCAAGGACTGCTTGCTTTTTGAAAGACTCCATTTCATTATTTTTATTTTAATCCTTATTCTGATTGATGATGATCAAGGGAGGGGGGCTTGCCAGTTCTTCCACTAACACAGATGAAAATGTTAGCATTCTTGAATCGATTTTCGCTAAGTCATCTGCATATTGTTTAAACAGTGAGGTTGGAAGACTTCTTTGCTTCTAATCAGACAACTTTAATGTGTGGCCCTTCTAACCTGTAATTTCTTAAGTGTTTCTTCATTTAGAGAAAAAGCTAAGGATTACTGCGAGGAAGGACATTGATTGCAGGCAGAGCTCAGCCTTTCATCATTCTTTCATCAGCAGTTTGGCTCTGGTCGGGTAGGCGCTCCAAACCCAGCCAATTTTCCCTTGGAAGCAGGTGGTTTTGACTTCTACTCGGCGCTTCAAAGAAGTGGCTTCTAGCGAAATGCAGCGGTCTCTCTGGGAGGAATTTCTGCGAAGTCAGTCTTTTTACATTTCAGTGATATTTTGTTACTTTATCAAAACGTGTAATAGATCTACCCAGGTGCTGAACAAAAATGCTTGCTCCCGGCACCAGAATTCCGGGCGAGGGCGGCAGAACCGTGTTTTCCAAGCGCCCGGGTCATTGTTAACAGTTCCCCGAAGGTGGGGCCTTTGTCCCACACGCGGGCCTGGGCGCGCGCAGGGCTCGCGGCCTCTCCACCAGGCGCTCGTTCGCGCCACTCTGATCCGCGGCGCCGCGCTTCCTTTGTCCCCGAGAACGCGGCCCCCCAGCTTGGCGTCCGCCCCACCATCCCGCACCGCCTGCACCACCAGGCCGCCCCCCGCCCCCGGCCCCCGCGTCCCTCCGCACTGAAGGGCGCGCGCGCGCGCGCGACCGCCGGAAGTGACGCCACCCGTCGTTGGCGCCCCGCCCCTTCCGCCGCGCGCCCCGCCCAGGCCTCGCCTCTCGGCCTCCCGCCCCTCCCCCTCCCCGTCGCTCGCTTTCTGTCAGCCTCTCTCCCTCTCCCTCTCCCCCTCTCTCCTGCCTCTGGCTTCCTCTCTCGCACCTGAGCACACGCACCTGCCGGGGCCCGGCTCCCTCTCCCTCCTCCCCTCCTTCCCCTCCCTCTTTTCCCGCCCGGCCGGAAGGCTCGGCCCGGCCGCGAGAGCCTCGCGGCTGCGTCACCGCGGTCCCCCAGACAAGATGGACACCGCCGAGGAAGGTAGGTCGGCGGCGCCGCGGCGCCCGCGCTTGCACCGGCGCCGGGGTTCGGGCTGGGCCCGCGCGGAGCCCGCGGCGCTCGAGGCGGGCGGCGGCGGCGCTGGGCCGTTTGCCCGCCGGGCCGCGGTCCGGGGGCGGAGGGCGACCCCCTGCGCGCCCCCGCCGTTTCCCGCCCGCCGCGCGAGGGGGCGGGGGCCCGGGCTCGGGCGCTGCGGAGACCCCGGCCGCGGCCTCGGCTGCGGCGGCGGTCCAGCGCCCGCACCCCTCCCCCACCGCCGTCGCGGTCGCGCTGCGCCCCTGCTCTGCGGGCTCGGCCCCTCGCAACAGAACTTCTTTGTTGACTTTGAAACTTCGCGGAAAATTGGCCCGGCGACGGCCGAGCGGACCGCCTTGACCCCTGCTCGGAGACCGGGTCCTCTGCCGCCTGCCCCGGGGAACGTGCGGTCCGGACCCGCCGCGGGCTCGGGGGCCGTGCCGCGCGCCGGGCTCCGGCGTTGTCTTTGTTTTGGTGTAGCTTAGGGCTCAGGTTGTGAACCCCCGACACCCCGAGAGCGTGGCTGGAGGCTCTCGTTCCGTGAAGACGTGTTGGGGTCCGGCGGTGCTGGAGAGCTCACCCCTGTGAACCGAGTGCACGCGGTGTGACACCCACCCCGGGTGGGCGCCGCACGCCCCGCTCACCCCCGGGTGGCAGGCCCCTCCACAGCAGTAGTGTGCTTCGTCTGCGGTAATGTAGTGAGTCTGCAGGGCCAATTATTGATCCTCCGGGTACAGTGCAGAGAGTTTTGTACTCTGAGTATTATGTTTGTGGGAATAGCGGCTTTGAGTATTATGTATTGAGATTTTGGCGATTTTAAACGAAAATGGGTCATCGAGTGATGGAGTCCTATAATGAATGATAAAAGTTTGATATTGCCCATGTAATGAGTTGATAAAATGGTTTAACGTTTTCCAAAGTCTTTCTTAATAGCAACCTCACCTATAGACATGAGGCAGTTTGACAGTTTACAAAGCATACTCACGCACATTCGCATTTGATCCTTATGACAACCCTGTGGAGTGGGTAGGTGTTGATATCTTTTATATTAGATGGAAATTCAGGCTTAGTTATTTTAATAGCTTGTCCACGGTTCACCCAGGTAGTAAGAAGAGAAATTTAAATCTACGTATTCTGATTGAAAACAGCTTCCCTTTCATCATGCCACAGCTTGTTTATTATATGCAGTGAGTGAAGCTAATCGCCACTGGAGACTGGGAAAAAATAGTGAAGTGAAATTGCTGAAGATTAGGAGTCACGTTCTTGTTGATAGGTCGACCCTGTATGTGAATTTCCTTCTACATAGGTTTCACGTACTTTTAGACTCAAGTTTTAATGAATAAGCGTAGAAAGACATGTCTTTACCACTTGATGTGTACTGGTATATTAAATTAAACCCCCATTCTTTTGGCTGTGGCACTTAATTCTTGCATATATTTATGGCATGACGGTAGTCATTGGTAATTCAGTAATTGACAAACTTGGTGTCTGTGATATCATTTAAGAAACAATGTACTTCTAATGTTTTTCTCTTGAAAAATTATAATCAGGATAAGGTATAAATAATATTTTTTTTTTGACTTGAACACTGTTCCCTGTTAAACTGATATTTATTGAGGAGTCAATGTGTGGTAGTATTACATGACAGTAGAATGTATTTTGACATACATACATTGAATATAACTTCCCATTCTTATGGTTGTACATGATGTGGAGTTACACTGGTCGTGTATTCATATATGAACATCGGAAAGTTATGTCAGATTATTTCTGCTGTCTTTCCTATTCCCATTCCCTCTCCCTTCCCCATCCCATTTAATTCTGTCAGTATTTTTAGGTAGGCAATATCCCTACTTTTCAGGTGAGAGAACTGAAGTTTAGTATGATTTAGTAACTTGCTCTAGGTCACACACACAGTAAATGGCAGAGGCAAGATTCAAACTCATGTCTGCCACACTCCATCCTTAAGTTAGATATTTATAAGTGAATAACAAGTGTCTGATGTTGAAATAACTAATTTTTGTCACTCCCTTCATAGGATGAATCGTTAGTATCAGTGGATAAAGCATAACTTTGCAGTTGTTTTATAATACTATTAGTCATTGATTTTAATACTTTTCATACTTTTATAAAATTTATGAAGTCCTCTGAAATTTTCACAATTAATTTAAATTTAATCTGAATTAACACTGGGAGGAAAGGGAAAATTACAGTGGATTTCATGGTAAACAATTATAAAATGAAGATGCCAAAAGCTTATAAATAATTGTTCTGTTTGTTAAGTCAGTTATATTCCGACCAGGTCCTCACCTGCTGCCATCCCTCGTCCCCACCAATGTGGGAGTGAACCATTGAACTCAGGAGCTCTTTACCATTGACCTACTTCCCCAATGCCGCAGTCCGGCTGCAGCAAAATAAGGGGGGGGGGGTGGGGGGGGGGTGGTGACGAATAACTTGTGTACGTTGATACAGCAGGAGTAGGAGCCGTTTATTGCAGGACAGGAGCAGTATTTATACATTCCACACAGCTTATCTAATTAGCATAAACTAGATACATCAGTCAACCAATCAGGAATCTCTACACTTAATGGCTCGGTTTTGTTACTTCTCAAACCACTCCCTCTGACATTTAGCCAGGCACCATCCAGACTTGTTTACGAACTCTAACATTCCCCTGGCAAAATGCCAGGTGTTATTTTGACTTGTTTACAGACTCTAACACCCCAAGTCTTTTTTTTCATTTGAGACAGGTTTTTATTAACTTGCCAAGGCTGACCTCAAACTTGGATGGATTCCACCTGCCTCATCTCCCTGATAGCTGAGATTACAGGTGTGTGCCCCAGCATAACTGGTTTAGATTCTTCGTCGTTGTTGTCTTTTTTTTTTTTTTTTTTTTAGTATTAGGGATTGAACCCAGGGGTGCCCAACCATTTGAGCCACATCCCCATCCCTTTTTCTGTTTTATTTTGAAACAGGATCTTGCTTAGGGCTTCCCTAAGTTGCTGAGGCTGGCTTTCAACTTACTTGAAGTTTCCTGCCTCAGCCTCTTGAGTTGCTGGGATTACAGGAGTGTGCCACAAGACCTGGCTAAATTATTTCTTAAATAATCTTAGGTTTTTATCTGATTTTAAACAGGTTGTTGTTTTTCCTTGTAGGAGATTTGAAAATATGTGGCTAAACAAAAGAATTAAATATTGTAAAATCTGGTTTTGTCTTCCGTTCTTGAAAACACTAATCATGTGGCTTATTTTTTCATTTAAAAAATGTTTTAATATTCTGAACAAAGAGATTAAGAATGTTTATTTAAATACCTGCCATGCACATAGAGGGTAACTCTTATAATAAAGGGGGTTAGATGACTTGTTATTTGAATGTAGTTTGTATGTGGGCAGATGTGTTATGTAAACTGCTATCATCAAATACTTAAACTTCAGAGTTGAAGAAGTCCTTAGATATGAAGTTTCATTTTGTGGGTTAGAGTCTTATCCTGCAGTGCAACTGAGATTTTCCAGTTTCAAAAAACAATCTGTCTTTTGTCCAAGGGGGCACTTTTCTTTTTTTAAAGGCAAAACATTGCAGTTGGAATAGATGTTACAAACAAGTGTTGACATAGGAAGCCCTCAAAAAGATAATAAACATCTTGCCTTAGTAGAATGCTCACATTTCAGCCCAATGATACATAAAGCTGTTTTTTTTTTTTTTCATTTTGCTGAATTACTGCTTATACTGTCAGAAGATTACATAAAATCTTATCAGTAATTTTATGTGGGATTCCAAGGCAATTGTACTTTATGCTCTTTGGAAAGTATTTAAAAGATATTAAATTGAAGTGTATTGCAGTTGGTCATGTTCTTTATCCACTATGATAAAAGCTTGAATTAATTTAAATTTGGAAGAAATGAGTTAAAAGGATAGTCAGATGTCAGATTCAGTAGCTAGTCTACTTCATTCTTCTTAAAGAACCACAGATCAGCTTTTACTGCCTTGGTGTGCTTGTGACCAAGCAATATTTATGTATTTGATATGTTTATTGAACACCTGTTCAGAGCTAGGGATTATTCTATGTGCTTGGGTTAGGGAGAGAAGAAAATAGAGAAAAACCCTTTCATAGAGCTTACTATATTCCAATTAGCTTGGTAGGGGAGGAAGGGAAGACAGAAAGTAAATCTATATCAAATTGTATGATTTAACCAGAGGTTATTATATAAATGCTGTTGAAAACAGCAAATTAAAAGGGAATAAGGAGTGCTGGGATATGAGGACAGGAGTCGCAGTTTTAAATATGACAGTTCACTAAGTCTTCACTGAGAAAAGGTAGAATGGGATGAATTAGTCTTGCAGAGGCTTTGTGGGTACAGCTTTCTAGGCAGAAGAAATAGCCATGCCTAGAATGTTCAAGAAATCACCAGGAGAGCAGTGTAGCTGCAATAGATTGAATGACTTGAAGAGAATAAGTATAATACCAGGTCAGAGAGATCACAGAACCAGAGAGGTGTTTGGAGTGGGTGTGAACACATAGGACTTTGACTTTTACGTCAGTGAAACAGGGAGCAATGGAATGGTTTTCAGCAGAGGTGAGAAATTGTCTTGCTGCTTTCTCAGTGGCTACTTGTTTGTTATCAGTTGTTAAACCCACATTTCTGGGAGCTGCAGTCTGATTGCCCATCTTAATCCAAGAAGCTGGGGGGCAGTGGGAGAGGTAACATAATAATAAAAATCATGACTATGTCCCTTCTTGAGCTGGGCAAACATCCCAAAAGTTGCCTTCTTCTTTGTTGAACTAGAGTACTGCTTAGGATGTTAGGGTTTAACAATTGATAACAAACAAATGACCAGTGACAGATGGGCAAGACAATTTATTTCTTACCTCTGCTCAAAACCATCCCAGAGCTCCTAAGTGATTGATACTAGGCTAACTGAATATTCTTATCCAGATACCGACTTCCCCTTTCTTCCAGGCTGGGCTT